GAATGACAGGTAGATTACACTTAAAAGGTACGTCCAGTCTGACGAGAGTGTGGGCATGGTTACTCAACTACTGATCACACAAGGAGTGGGTATGTTAGCATTCTTGTGGGTGCCCGCTGGGCAGCCATCAACCTGTGGCTTTGGTCCCTGTAAACACGGCCGCCTGACGTCACCGCGGGGTCCCAATGTTATGAAGGAGACTCCATTGGACGCTGTACAACTGTACTGTTAACTATGCTGTTGCAAGCACCGCCACATCTGAGTGCTCAGTGATCGTGGAATTAGCAAACGGTGTTGTTCTCGGGCTTGTTGAGGGGTCAGTGAGGCAGGTCAACTTTCGGAATGATAGATTCAGAATTATTAGCATACTGAACGGGAGAACTGTGGGGGAAGTGGACCATGAGTGGCTGGACGAACCTACGAGTTGACTGACTACGAGATGAAAGTGTTGTTTGTCAAGGTCGATACAAAACAGTGACGAGAGAGAGAGAGAGAGAGAGAGAGAGAGAGAGAGAGAGAGAGAGAGAGAGAGAGAGAGAGAGAGAGAGAGAGAGAGAGAGAGAGAGAGAGAGAGAGAGGAGAGAGAGAGAGAGAGAGAGGGAGAGAGAGAGAGAGAGAGAGAGAGAGAGAGAGAGAGAGAGAGAGAGAGAGAGAGAGAGGGAGAGAGAGAGAGAGAGAGAGAGAGAGAGAGAGAGAGAGAGAGAGAGAGAGAGAGAGAGAGAGAGAGAGAGAGAGGAGAGAGAGAGAGAGAGAGAGAGAGAGAGAGAGAGAGAGAGAGAGGAGAGAGAGAGAGAGAGAGAGAGAGAGAGAGAGGAGAGAGAGAGAGAGAGAGAATGAGAGAGGAGAGAGAGAGAGAGAGAGAGAGAGAGAGAGAGAGAGAGAGAGAGGGAGGGGGAGGGAGGGGGGGGAGGGTAAACAACAAGCTTGACGTTATAATTAACAATTTAACGTTATGTCTATACAAGAACCCTCCCACACTCTGTTTTGACCAAAGGTGCGTGTGGGAGATTTATGAACACACACACACACACACACACACACTCACACACACACACACACACACACACACACACACACACACACACACACACACACACACACACACACACACACACACACTCTACCTTTTTATTTTGTTTAATGTATCATTATGTTTTCGCGGTAATTCCCAGGTGGTGCCAGTAACCAGGATATAAGGGAGTTAGCCCAACATGTGACTCTTCCCTAGGCTTATATACAGGTCCTCCTGCATCTCTCTACACCCTCAAGTGTAGAGTGGTCTACACTTCATAAATGTTGTCTGGTCCGCAAGCGTTGATAACTTCCTCGTTTAGGAAGTTAAATGGGGTCTACGGCGGTGTCCGGGTCGCCCCAAAAATTTTATATATATTTAGTACATAGGTAAAAACGTAGACTTAGGTAAACTTAGACTTGGGTAAAAAACCTCCACCGATTTCGTAAGGGTTCGAGATGGGAGCCGATCTCCTTTTTACGGGAGCAATGGGGCCGACCCTGCCCTACCCATGCTGGTCACCTACCCCTCACCAATTACACTGCAAAGTTGGGCGAGATGTACATATATAAGGAATAATATTGCCGCTGATACTGAGTGCACTTGAGTGTGTTTTGTGTGGGTGCGCGACCCTGGGCATGGCCTCTATAAGACGAGTGCAGGAACACTTTCAGTTCGCATCAGTCAATTCTGAAGAGTGAAGGCATTAATAAGACGATTCATTATGAGGCAGCGAGACGTCTCGTTACCGACCCTGGTCAGGTTATGTCAGGGAGCAGCTCCCTCTGTGGCCAGGCGCCCCCACCACCACCACCACCACTACCTCCACTCCGCCTCCACCTGGCCAGGCGCCCCCACCACCACCACCACTACCTCCACTCCGCCTCCACCTGCACTGTGAGCCACATATATGCAATTATAAATAACAAATCATAGCATTAAATGTCAATGTAAATCATATTTGTACTACCATTTATATATCAAAATCAACGTATTTGCCAAGCATTTCGCAAATAGTAATATTATCGTGTTGAGGTGCTGTCTTGTATCGTTCAAAGAGGTGAACAACAGACAGAGTGAACACGGGTGAACACCCAGTCACACACACACACTCTCAAGAGAACTGTCCCAAGGAATTCCAAGAGCAAGAGTCACACTTGGCGCCGGGCGGCCCAGTGGTCAACTGGTTCACCCCCGTCAACCAGTCCTTCCTCACCCTCACCCGGGCACTCCTGCCTCACCCCATCTACACCCCGCACCCACAGTCCCTGCACACTGTGGGGGGATACTTCCAGACAAGTGTGTCATGACACAAGTGTGTCATGACACAAGTGTGTCATGACACAAGTGTGTCATGAGACAAGTGTGTCATGACACAAGTGTGTCATGAGACAAGTGTGTCATGAGACAAGTGTGTCATGAGACAAGTGTGTCATGACACAAGTGTGTCATGAGACAAGTGTGTCATGAGCTTTGTCAAAGAATTGAGTTCTACACACATTGACGCAATGATAGATCCAAGGACTAGCGCCCTCACTCCAGGCTCCACCCCTCCCACTCCAGGCTCCACCCCTCCCACTCCAAGGTCCACCTCCACTCCAGGCTCCACCCCTCCCACTCCAAGGTCCACCTCCACTCCAGGCTCCACCCCTCCCACTCCAAGGTCCACCTCCACTCCAGGCTCCACCCCTCCCACTCCAAGGTCCACCTCCACTCCAGGCTCCACCCCTCCCACTCCAAGGTCCACCTCCACTCCAGGCTCCACCCCTCCCACTCCAAGGTCCACCTCCACTCCAGGCTCCACCCCTCCCACTCCAGGCTCCACCCCTCCCACTCCAAGGTCCACCTCCACTCCAGGCTCCACCCCGCCCCCTCCAAGGTCCACCTCCACTCCAGGCTCCACCCCTCCCACTCCAAGGTCCACCTCCACTCCAGGCTCCACCCCTCCCACTCCAAGGTCCACCTCCACTCCAGGCTCCACCCCTCCCACTCCAAGGTCCACCTCCACTCCAGGCTCCACCCCTCCCACTCCAAGGTCCACCTCCACTCCAGGCTCCACCCCTCCCACTCCAAGGTCCACCTCCACTCCAGGCTCCACCACTCCCACTCCAAGGTCCACCTTTACTCCAGGCTCCACCCCTCCCACTCCAAGGTCCACCTCCACTCCAGGCTCCACCACTCCCACTCCAAGGTCCACCTTTACTCCAGGCTCCACCCCTCCCACTCCAAGGTCCACCTCCACTCCAGGCTCCACCACTCCCACTCCAAGGTCCACCTCCACTCCAGGCTCCACCCCTCCCACTCCAAGGTCCACCTCCACTCCAGGCTCCACCCCTCCCACTCCAAGGTCCACCTTTACTCCAGGCTCCACCCCTCCCACTCCAGGCTCCACCCCTCCCACTCCAAGGTCCACCTTTACTCCAGGCTCCACCCCTCCCACTCCAGGCTCCACCCCTCCCACTCCAAGGTCCACCTCCACTCCAGGCTCCACCCCTCCCACTCCAAGGTCCACCTTTACTCCAGGCTCCACCCCTCCCACTCCAAGGTCCACCTTTACTCCAGGCTCCACCCCTCCCACTCCAAGGTCCACCTCCACTCCAGGCTCCACCCCTCCCACTCCAAGGTCCACCTTTACTCCAGGCTCCACCCCTCCCACTCCAGGCTCCACCCCTCCCACTCCAAGGTCCACCTTTACTCCAGGCTCCACCCCTCCCACTCCAGGCTCCACCCCTCCCACTCCAAGGTCCACCTCCACTCCAGGCTCCACCCCTCCCACTCCAAGGTCCACCTTTACTCCAGGCTCCACCCCTCCCACTCCAAGGTCTACCTTTACTCCAGGCTCCACCCCTCCCACTCCAAGGTCCACCTTTACTCCAGGCTCCACCCCTCCCACTCCAGGCTCCACCCCTCCCACTCCAAGGTCCACCTCCACTCCAGGCTCCACCCCTCCCACTCCAAGGTCCACCTTTACTCCAGGCTCCACCCCTCCCACTCCAGGCTCCACCCCTCCCACTCCAAGGTCCACCTTTACTCCAGGCTCCACCCCTCCCACTCCAGGCTCCACCCCTCCCACTCCAAGGTCCACCTTTACTCCAGGTTCCACCCCTCCCACTCCAGGCTCCACCCCTCCCACTCCAAGGTCCACCTTTACTCCAGGCTCCACCACTCCAAGTATTTATGTATATAGGTTAGATTAGCCTTTTAGAAGCACTACAATCACTTTCTGTAGTTGATTGTTCAATAAATCCCTGAACTATGTATACCACATCTCCAACCCTCTCCACGGAGGACAGAAGGACATGTATATACGCTGGTACCATTATAAATGTGTAGTCACGTCTGTGGTAGCAAGAATATAACGTGTTACAAGGAGGGGTCACGGGTTACTAGGAGAGGTCATGGGTTACAAGGAGGGGTCACGGGTTACTAGGAGAGGTCACGGGTTACTAGGAGAGGTCATGGGTTACAAGGAGGGGTCACGGGTTACTAGGAGAGGTCACGGGTTACAAGGAGGGGTCACGGGTTACTAGGAGAGGTCATGGGTTACAAGGAGAGGTCACGGGTTACAAGGAGAGGTCACGGGTTACAACTAAGGCAGCACGCCACCACCTGGCTATAACACAAGGAATGATCCTAAGTAATCACAGCCGAATCATGCAGCGAGTAAAATATTTGCGGGTGGTCGCGAAGTGCAGCGGCTGGCATCCTTAGACCCAACAAGTGCTCGCGCGCGGATACGCTTGGGCACGGAAGCCTCTATGTGTTGCCGGGTTGTGATGGAGAGAGCATCACAGGCCTGCGAGTCTTCAGTTCCCTGCCACCACACGTAAGAAATGTTGCTGGACCAACACTGGAAGCTTTTAAAATGAAACTGAGCAAGTTTCTGCGGGGGAGGGGAGGGGGGGGGGGTACCGGATCAGCCTGGCTGTGATGGTTATGTGGACCGCAGATGTTACGATATTAAACAACACCACAGGCCGGTAATCACTAGAGTATGCAGCCCCAGCCTGGAGTCCACACCTAGTTAAACACAAGACAATGTTAAGAGAAGATTCATACCGGACCAAAGGGACTGACTGGTCTGGTGGCACACCAGACCAGTCCCAGATCTCAGAGGGAGTTACGAGGAAAGCCTACAGGAATTAAACCTCACATCCCTGGAAGACAGAACACTTAGGAGAGACATGATCACCACCTACAAAATTACCAGAGGAATTCATGGGGTAGATAGGTAATGTGGCAGGCGAAAGTACTAAGCCATTACGATTATATAACCTTGGGACGGGATACGAGGACAAGGATTTAGGATAGAACGGAGGAGAGAATGGTACCCAATTTATTTATAGCTGGTGATGAAGTCCCGAGTTCCACTCCAACAGCCTGGCATTTGCTCACCTAGTTGTGCTTGAGTGTCGACCTTCAATCCCAGACTAGGACGGTCGCGGATTGTACGCCGACCTCCAAGAAGCGAGACCGTCGCTCTACCGTCCAGTCCAAGTGGTTGGGCCATAGGGTAGATAATGCAGATTATCTGGCACGGGTGGTACTCGAACAAGGGGACACAGGTGGAAGCTGAGTACCCTAATGAGCCACAGACACATGAGAAATAATTTTTAGTGTCAGAGTAGTTAACAAATGGAATGCATTAGGAAGTAATGTGGTGGAGGCTGACTCCATACACAGTTTGTTTCAAGAGTAGAAATGACAGAGCCCAATAGGCTCAGGAACCTGTAGGACAGTTGACTGACAGTTGAGAGGCGGGACCAAAGAGTCGAAGCACAACCCCAGCAAGCACAACTAGGTGAGTCAAGACCAGCTGTTGGAGTGCAACTCGAGACTTCATCACCAGCCATAAATCGTCCCAGTTTTGGAACCAAAATATCTGAGTAATCTTTTCAGTGATTTCCTCCAATATTGGGGTAAAGATCTCATTAAACAAAGCTATGTAGCACTTTATCAAGAAGATATTACATTTGGCGCTTGTAATCATTATGCTAATGACAGTATTTATAACATCTTATATAATAATATTACTGTTTTAAGGCAGAAAGGCACTGGCAGGTAGACCGACCCTTGACGTCACTTCTCAAATTAAATAAACTGCCTCAGACATTCATAATTACGCTAGCTTGTTAGTCATGAAATACCCGGCAATTGAATCCTAAAATAGGAGGGTATAAATAAGGTTTTAATTAACGCTGCGGTCCTTAGCTACAGGGTTGGGGGGGGGGGGGGGGGACATAATCCTCCTCCCCCGCCCCCCCCCAGCCCCAACGTCAGGCAACCAGTGTCAACTGTCGTACGTCAGGCAGCCAGTGTCAACTGTCGTACGTCAGGCAGCCAGTGTCAACTGTCGTACGTCAGGCAGCCAGTGTCAACTGTCGCACGTCAGGCAGCCAGTGTCAACTGTCGTACGTCAGGCAGCCAGTGTCAACTGTCGCACGTCAGGCAGCCAGTGTCAACTGTCGCACGTCAGGCAGCCAGTGTCAACTGTCGTACGTCAGGCAGCCAGTGTCAACTGTCGCACGTCAGGCAGCCAGTGTCAACTGTCGTACGTCAGGCAGCCAGTGTCAACTGTCGCACGTCAGGCAGTCAGTGTTAATTGTCGTACGTCAGGCTGCCAGTGTTAAGTGTCGTACGTCAGGCAGCCAGTGTTAAGTGTCGTACATCAGGCAGCCAGTGTTAAGGGTCGTACATCAGGCAGCCAGTGATAATTGTCGTACGTCAGGCAGTCAGTGTTAATTGTCGTACGTCAGGCAGCCAGTGTTAAGTGTCGTACATCAGGCAGCCAGTGTTAATTGTCGTACGTCAGGCAGCCAGTGTTAAGTGTCGTACATCAGGCAGCCAGTGCTAATTGTCGTACATCAGGAAGCCACTGTTAATTGTCGTACATCAAGCAGTCAGTGTTAATTGTCGTACGTCAGGCAGCCAGTGTTAAGTGTCGTACATCAGGCAGCCAGTGTTAATTGTCGTACGTCAGGCAGCCAGTGTTAAGTGTCGTACATCAGGCAGCCAGTGTTAATTGTCGTACATCAGGAAGCCACTGTTAATTGTCGTACGTCAGGCAGCCAGTTTTAATTGACGTACATCAGACAGACAGTTTTGATTGTACGTCAGACAGCCAGTGTTAACGTCGTACATCAACCAGTGAATGTCACTTTTCAGTGTTGCCATTCATTCGTCTGGAATATGAAGCAAGGATATGTTAAATAAACAAAGCTGGCAACCCACCTGTTGCCACCTGAACCACCTGCTGCTACCTGAACACATCTCTGACCACCTGGAACCACCTGTTGCCATCTGAACCTATATGTAGACACCTGGATCCGTCTGTGGCGACTCGGACTCACCTGTTGCCACCTGGACCCACCTGGACCCAGGTGTTGCCACCTGGACCCACCTGGACCCAGGTGTTGCCACCTAAACCCACCTGGGCCCAGGTGTTGCCACCTGGACCCACCTGGGCCCAGGTGTTGCCACCTAAACCCACCTGGGCCCAGGTGTTGCCACCTGGACCCACCTGGGCCCAGGTGTTGCCACCTAAACCCACCTGGGCCCAGGTGTTGCCACCTGGACCCACCTGGGCCCAGGTGTTGCCACCTAAACCCACCTGGGCCCAGGTGTTGCCACCTGGACCCACCTGGGCCCAGGTGTTGCCACCTAAACCCACCTGGGCCCAGGTGTTGCCACCTGGACCCACCTGGACCCAGGTGTTGCCACCTAAACCCACCTGGGCCCAGGTGTTGCCACCTGGACCCACCTGGGCCCAGGTGTTGCCACCTAAACCCACCTGGGCCCAGGTGTTGCCACCTGGACCTATCCGTAATCACCTACCTTGCCGTCACCTTGCGATGATTCCGGGGCTTAGCGTCCCCGCGGCCCGGTCCTCGACCAGGCCTCCTAGACCCACTTGTTGCCACACATCCCACCTGTTGACGCTTGGCTCCACCTGTTGACGCTTGGCCCCACCTGTTGACGCTTGGCCCCACCTGTTGACGCTTGGCCCCACCTGTTGACGCTTGGCCCCACCTGTTGACGCTTGGCCCCACCTGTTGCCAGTGATGGCACACTCCAATCTGGAACATCAACACCCACACACCCACCAATACTCACACATCACCAACACCAACACCCACCAACACCCACCAACACCCGCCAACACCCACCAACACCCACCAACACCCACCAACACCCACCAACACCCACCAACACCCGCCAACACCCACCAACACCCGCCAACACCCGCCAACACCCACCAACACCCACCAACACCCACCAACACCCGCCAACACCCACCAACACCCGCCAACACCCACCAACACCCGCCAACACCCGCCAACACCCACCAACACCCACCAACACCCACCAACACCCGCTAACACCCACCAACACCCGCCAACACCCACCAACACCCACCAACACCCACCAACACCCGCCAACACCCACCAACACCCGCCAACACCCGCCAACACCCACCAACACCCACCAACACCCACCAACACCCGCCAACACCCACCAACACCCGCCAACACCCACCAACACCCGCCAACACCCACCAACACCCGCCAACACCCACCAACACCCGCCAACACCCACCAACACCCGCCAACACCCACCAACACCCGCCAACACCCACCAACACCCGCCAACACCCACCAACACCCGCCAACACCCACCAACACCCGCCAACACCCACCAACACCCACCAACACCCACCAACACCCGCCAACACCCACCAACACCCGCCAACACCCACCAACACCCGCCAACACCCACCAACACCCGCCAACACCCACCAACACCCGCCAACACCCGCCAACACCCGGACTTCGGGTAGAGGCGCGCTAGACCATTTAGGGTCCCAAGAAACGCATCGAGTCATGTCCTTATGTACAACTTCCCGGCTCATGTACACTGTACACCACAACCACCGGGGCTCATGTACACTGTACACCACAACCACCGGGGCTCATGTACACTGTACACCACAACCACCGGGGCTCATGTACACTGTACACCACAACCACCGGGGCTCATGTACACTGTACACCACAACCACCGGGGCTCATGTACACCACAACCACCGGGGCTCATGTACACTGTACACCACAACCACCGGGGCTCATGTACACTGTACACCACAACCACCGGGGCTCATGTACACCACAACCACCGGGGCTCATGTACACCACAACCACCGGGGCTCATGTACACTGTACACCACAACCACCGGGGCTCATGTACACTGTACACCACAACCACCGGGGCTCATGTACACTGTACACCACAACCACCGGGGCTCATGTACACTGTACACCACAACCACCGGGGCTCATGTACACCACAACCACCGGGGCTCATGTAACCACCGGGGCTCATGTACACTGTACACCACAACCACCGGGGCTCATGTACACTGTACACCACAACCACCGGGGCTCATGTACACTGTACACCACAACCACCGGGGCTCATGTACACTGTACACCACAACCACCGGGGCTCATGTACACTGTACACCACAACCACCGGGGCTCATGTACACTGTACACCACAACCACCGGGGCTCATGTACACTGTACACCACAACCACCGGGGCTCATGTACACTGTACACCACAACCACCGGGGCTCATGTACACTGTACACCACAACCACCGGGGCTCATGTACACTGTACACCACAACCACCGGGGCTCATGTACACTGTACACCACAACCACCGGGGCTCATGTACACTGTACACCACAACCACCGGGGCTCATGTACACTGTACACCACAACCACCGGGGCTCATGTACACTGTACACCACAACCACCGGGGCTCATGTACACTGTACACCACAACCACCGGGGCTCATGTACACTGTACACCACAACCACCGGGGCTCATGTACACTGTACACCACAACCACCGGGGCTCATGTACACCACAACCACCGGGGCTCATGTACACTGTACACCACAACCACCGGGGCTCATGTACACTGTACACCACAACCACCGGGGCTCATGTACACTGTACACCACAACCACCGGGGCTCATGTACACCACAACCACCGGGGCTCATGTACACCACAACCACCGGGGCTCATGTACACTGTACACCACAACCACCGGGGCCCATGTACACTGTACACCACAACCACCGGGGCTCATGTACACTGTACACCACAACCACCGGGGCTCATGTACACCACAACCACCGGGGCTCATGTACACCACAACCACTGGGGCTCATGTACACTGTACACCACAACCACCGGGGCTCATGTACACTGTACACCACAACCACCGGGGCCCATGTACACTGTACACCACAACCACCGGGGCTCATGTACACTGTACACCACAACCACCGGGGCTCATGTACACTGTACACCACAACCACCGGGGCTCATGTACACTGTACACCACAACCACCGGGGCTCATGTACACTGTACACCACAACCACCGGGGCTCATGTACACTGTACACCACAACCACCGGGGCTCATGTACACTGTACACCACAACCCCCGGGGCTCATGTACACTGTACACCACAACCACCGGGGCTCATGTACACCACAACCACCGGGGCTCATGTACACTGTACACCACAACCACCGGGGCTCATGTACACTGTACACCACAACCACCGGGGCCCATGTACACTGTACACCACAACCACCGGGGCTCATGTACACTGTACACCACAACCACCGGGGCTCATGTACACTGTACACCACAACCACCGGGGCTCATGTACACCACAACCACCGGGGCTCATGTACACTGTACACCACAACCACCGGGGCTCATGTACACTGTACACCACAACCACCGGGGCTCATGTACACTGTACACCACAACCACCGGGGCTCATGTACACCACAACCATCGGGGCTCATGTACACTGTACACCACAACCATCGGGGCTCATGTACACCACAACCACCGGGGCTCATGTACACTGTACACCACAACCACCGGGGCTCATGTACACCACAACCACCGGGGCTCATGTACACTGTACACCACAACCACCGGGGCTCATGTACACCACAACCACCGGGGCTCATGTACACTGTACACCACAACCACCGGGGCTCATGTACACCACAACCACCGGGGCTCATGTACACTGTACACCACAACCACCGGGGCTCATGTACACTGTACACCACAACCACCGGGGCTCATGTACACCACAACCACCGGGGCTCATGTACACCACAACCACCGGGGCTCATGTACACTGTACACCACAACCACCGGGGCTCATGTACACTGTACACCACAACCACCGGGGCTCATGTACACCACAACCACCGGGGCTCATGTACACCACAACCACCGGGGCTCATGTACACCACAACCACCGGGGCTCATGTACACTGTACACCACAACCACCGGGGCTCATGTACACTGTACACCACAACCACCGGGGCTGTACATGTACACCACAACCACCGGGGCTCATGTACACTGTACACCACAACCACCGGGGCTCATGTACACTGTACACCACAACCACCGGGGCCCATGTACACTGTACACCACAACCACCGGGGCTCATGTACACCACCACAACCACCGGGGCTCATGTACACCACAACCACCGGGGCTCATGTACACCACAACCACCGGGGCTCATGTACACCACAACCACCGGGGCTCATGTACACTGTACACCACAACCACCGGGGCCCATGTACACTGTACACCACAACCACCGGGGCTCATGTACACCACAACCACCGGGGCTCATGTACACCACAACCACCGGGGCTCATGTACACTGTACACCACAACCACCGGGGCCCATGTACACTGTACACCACAACCACCGGGGCTCATGTACACCACAACCACCGGGGCTCATGTACACCACAACCACCGGGGCTCATGTACACTGTACACCACAACCACCGGGGCTCATGTACACTGTACACCACAACCACCGGGGCTCATGTACACCACAACCATCGGGGCTCATGTACACCACAACCACCGGGGCTCATGTACACCACAACCACCGGGGCTCATGTACACTGTACACCACAACCACCGGGGCTCATGTACACCACAACCACCGGGGCTCATGTACACCACAACCACCGGGGCTCATGTACACCACAACCCCCGGGGCTCATGTACACCACAACCACCGGGGCTCATGTACACCACAACCACCGGGGCTCATGTACACTGTACACCACAACCACCGGGGCTCATGTACACTGTACACCACAACCACCGGGGCTCATGTACACCACAACCACCGGGGCTCATGTACACCACAACCACCGGGGCTCATGTACACCACAACCATCGGGGCTCATGTACACCACAACCACCGGGGCTCATGTACACCACAACCATCGGGGCTCATGTACACCACAACCATCGGGGCTCATGTACACTGTACACCACAACCATCGGGGCTCATGTACACCACAACCATCGGGGCTCATGTACACTGTACACCACAACCATCGGGGCTCATGTACACCACAACCATCGGGGCTCATGTACACTGTACACCACAACCATCGGGGCTCATGTACACCACAACCATCGGGGCTCATGTACACCACAACCATGGGGCTCATGTACACCACAACCATCGGGGCTCATGTACACCACAACCACCGGGGCTCATGTACACTGTACACCACAACCATCGGGGCTCATGTACACTGTACACCACAACCATCGGGGCTCATGTACACTGTACACCACAACCATCGGGGCTCATGTACACCACAACCATCGGGGCTCATGTACACCACAACCACCGGGGCTCATGTACACCACAACCACCGGGGCTCATGTACACCACAACCACCGGGGCTCATGTACACCACAACCACCGGGGCTCATGTACACTGTACACCACAACCATCGGGGCTCATGTACACTGTACACCACAACCATCGGGGCTCATGTACACTGTACACCACAACCATCGGGGCTCATGTACACCACAACCACCGGGGCTCATGTACACCACAACCACCGGGGCTCATGTACACCACAACCACCGGGGCTCATGTACACCACAACCACCGGGGCTCATGTACACCACAACCACCGGGGCTCATGTACACCACAACCACCGGGGCTCATGTACACCACAACCACCGGGGCTCATGTACACCACAACCACCGGGGCTCATGTACACCACAACCACCGGGGCTCATGTACACCACAACCACCGGGGCTCATGTACACCACAACCACCGGGGCTCATGTACACCACAACCACCGGGGCTCATGTACACCACAACCACCGGGGCTCATGTACACTGTACACCACAACCACCGGGGCTCATGTACACCACAACCACCGGGGCTCATGTACACCACAACCACCGGGGCTCATGTACACTGTACACCACAATCACCGGGGCTCATGTACACTGTACACCACAACCACCGGGGCTCATGTACACTGTACACCACAATCACCGGGGCTCATGTACACTGTACACCACAACCACCGGGGCTCATGTACACTGTACACCACAATCACCGGGGCTCATGTACACTGTACACCACAACCACCGGGGCTCATGTACACTGTACACCACAATCACCGGGGCTCATGTACACTGTACACCACAACCACCGGGGCTCATGTACACTGTACACCACAACCACCGATTAATTCAACTGATTATTATATAATATATAAATTAAAATAGCCGCTAAATCAACGGTTATTAAAGCATCGGTAATTTGTCATTATATCGCTCAGTTGCAGCACGATGCGACTCAACCCATGGGACGATGTTTCATGGAACTATACGAGAATAATAAAAAAAACTGGTGAGAAAGGAGAGAAACGCCACATTTTTCCCCCAGTATGATCTAGTATAACGAGGCCATTGTTAATGTACACGTACGAATATTTTTCCCAGTATGAGCTGGCTTAACGAGGTCATTGTTAATGCCTGCGATAAAACTCAGCAGCAATAAGAGAGGGAAGATAGTGCTCCACAAGTGGCAAATACTGACCCTTAAGGCTCAGTGCCTGCAACCGTTCTGTGGCGTTTTGGTCTCTAGGGACAGTCACAGGCGACAACATTACTCCAGAAGGTCGCCTGTCATTATAGCCTTGTATGTCTGCCCGAGTCCAATCGTGTCCGTCTCCGGTACTGTACCGGTACTGTACCGTCTCCTGTACTGTACCATATGTGCCTCTACGTTAAAAATGCGACCTGTTAAAGCCAGGAAAACTAGTTAAAACCGTGCTTGGAAAATAGTACCATCTACATTTCATTATAATATTATTGAGGTACATAAATATTACAGTCCGCCCACCTGTTGAGAGTACTTATAGTACAGTGTACTCCGCCGGACAGGTATTGACGCAGTGGACAACCACAAAGAATTGGGTACGATTGAATTTGGTCAAACCGGAAAAGGTTTTGTATTCATGTTGCTAAGATAACCTAACTCTCCTAGGCCTAATACACGCTATCTATAGGGCCTAATATAGCACATGTTTGTGCTATATTTGGCCTGGGAATATTTAGGTTAATTTTTAGCATTATTTTTTCCCGGACTTTAAAAGTAAATATATTCAAATTCTGTCTAATTGTCCATTTGTGGACAAAAGCAAATGTGTGTGTGTGTGTGTGTGTGTGTGTGTGTGTGTGTGTGTGTGTGTGTGTGTGTGTGTGTGTGTGTGTGTGTGTGTGTGTGTGTGTGTGTGTGTGTGTATGTGTGTGTACTAACTTGGTTGTACTCATCTAGTTGTGCTTGCGGGGGGTTGAGCTTTGGCTCTTTGGTCCCGCCTCTCAACTGTCAATCAACTGGTGTACAGATTCCTGAGCCTACTGGGCTCTATCATATCTACACTTGAAACTGTGTATGGAGTCAGCCTCCACCACATCACTGCCTAATGCATTCCACCTGTTAACTACTGTCACTGAAAACGTTCTTTCTAATGTCTCTGTCGATCATTTGGGTACTCAGTTTCCACCTGTGTGTGTGTGTGTACTCACCTATTTGTGTTTGTGGGGATTGAGCTCTGGCTCTTTGGTCCCGCCTCTCAACCGTCAATCAACTGATAACCGTGTTTGTATGTGTCTGTTTGTACGTACATGCGTGCGCGCACGTACACGTACAGAGTTCTGATAAATTATAACACAACACACAATCTACTGCCTATATACCATAACCAGAGCAACAAGTTATGCAACGTCAGAGTTGCCAACACAACAACAGCCCAGGTACCCAAACATAATTATATGAATCACTGCCAACAAAACACACATTGTAGAGTGCTCTGGCACCGTCAACAGTGTTACCACAGAAAGAGAAAGTAGTCAGCGCCGGGCCATTCTTCTCATCACTTCATAAACAACACGAAAATGAGCACTTACCCGAGTGAAATGTTCCACGTGCTGCCCTGCTGACGTACCCCGGGTCCCTCACGTGTGACGCCCCTGGCTCTCCTCTGCTCTCCGGGCACTGACTGGCACCTGAGGCCTGGGCAGGATGGCGGGCACTGGCACCCTGGTCAAGCTCGGGCATGAATGGACACGCTGTCTGAATGCTGTGGAAAACATGTCGTACGGCTCACTGGGCATGGCAGCGTGGCGAAGCATTTAAATTTTGTAATTCCACGTATTTTGTGTAAGAGGAATGCTTCCTGGTTAATTAACCTGCTCGTAGATAATTACCTTATCTCCATTATCTGCAAAGAAGCATATTATCCGGTCGGAAATGGCTGAAAGCCGAACAAATTGTGTCTGTAGGCGGGCATGAGGCTACAAGCGTGACAGGTGTGGAGCGTGACAGGTGTGGAGCGTGACAGGTGTGGAGCGTGACAGGTGTCGGGCGAGGCTCCACACCCGCGCGGTGTGTCAGGGAGAAGCGTCTAGCACTTTAGTACAGGATACCCATACAATGTATGGGTATCCTGTACTAAATAGGAGCTGCCTCGTATGAGCCAATAGGCCTTCTGCAGTTACCTTTGTTCTTATGTTCTATGTTCCCCCGAGTGTTAGTTCTGCCTTGACGACTGCCGCGCCGTGTAACGTGACGTGGCTAATTATTTAACTAACTACCGGACGAACTGAGACCCTGATTGTTAACATTAAATATAACTGAGAAAGGGAAAGCTCTCAACTTGGGCAAGGCTCAGCCTGGACAAGGCTTACCATGAACTATTATCATAGTTCACTACATAGTTCAAGTTATATTTTACGCGTCACCCACGTACAACAAATAAGTACAAATAATCGCCAACAGAACCTAAACACCTAACCTAACCTAACCTAACCTAACCTAACCTAACCTAACCTAACCTAACCTAACCTAACGAGTTGTGTGTGAGGACGGGTGGCACTGTGAGATGTGACCCCCCCCCTCTCGGGTACACCTTATGCCTCCTAGTGCCCCGGACTAGGAGGCCCCCTCCCCCCCCCACCCTGTGGTGGCGGTACCGCCCACTTTAGTTATCACTGATATACACTAACTCTGCACTCTGACTAGGTCTTGTAAACCTTGGAATATCCTAAATTCTTTACAGTTTACCATTTTGTTTTTTGTGAGGCTTTCCATTTTTTTCACTGATCTCCAGTTTTAGTAATTATATTATGTTCTGTACTTGGACTGCCTTTGAGCAGCCTGAGGGCAGTAATATTCCGGGAACATCAACTAAATTTCGGAGTCTTGAGGCAAAGTGAAATTCACACGCTGATGTAGATTTGACTAAATGTAAACTCTGTCAGCAGAACTATTCGCATACTTTGCGTCATTATATAATGGAATGTGAAAAAATCGCTGAATTTAGAGATAACACCATCAATGGTGTCCAAGAAATGTGTAAGTACTTCATTCATAATGATGTGCTGCCCGAAATCTTAGCGAAGTATCCGAAATTTGCTTACAGTAGGTAATGCATACACATGACTGTAAAGCTGCCGCCCAGTTGGGTGGGTGTGGAGCACATGATTGTAAAGCTGCCGCCCAGTTGGGTGGCTGTGGAGCACATGATTGTAAAGCTGCCGCCCAGTTGGGTGGGTGTGCAGCACATGACTGTAAAGCTGCCGCCCAGTTGGGTGGCTGTGGAGCAAGACTAGTAACTGTGCGACTCACCATAGATGTAAAGTGCCTTGTATAGTGACTGTTGTGAGCCTCTTGTTGAATCACTTGTGATACAAAAGATTATTGATGTGTGTATTTGTGTGGGTGATTAAATATGAATGTACACGTATATATATGTACATGTATGTATGAGTATGTGTACATGTATATGTAACATTAATAATTGTGTAACTTGCGTCAAAAGATTGTTATTTGCTTAGCTAAACGAACTAGAGGGTTCAGTTCCTGAACCGATTATGTGCCTCTGTAACCCTTTACACCACCGCCCACGGGATGGGTATGGGGTGCATAATAAAAAAAAGAAATTGAATTGTCTTACCACTTCTCCTCTAACCATAATATATTAAGCTCACTACAGCTGGAGAGTTTTGTCTATATGAAAGATTGTGGAATTATTCAATGTGATTCTTTGGTGGACCGAATATGTACCTTAGAGTTACTTCTGTCTGGTGTATTATGGGACCTGCGCATGTCTCCAACTTGTGTATTAATCTCACGTTCGAACAAGTTTTAACACTTCCTAACCAGTTATAACAACCAATATAGCAAGTTGTAAGAACGTTCTAATACGTCATAAACACGTTAAGCCAAGATGTAACAACTTTATTACAAGTTGTAACAAGCGGAAAATAGAGACAGTTTCGGTTTGTTTCCAAGGAACACAATGGATGGAGCCGGTCGGCCGAGCGAACAGCACGCTGGACTTGTGATCCTGTGGTCCCGGGTTCGATCCCAGGCGCCGGCGAGAAACAATGGGCAGAGTTTCTTTCACCCTATGCCACTGTTACCTAGCAGTAAAATAGGTACCTGGGTGTTAGTCAGCTGTCACGGGCTGCTTCCTGGGGGTGGAGGCCTGGTCGAGGACCGGGCCGCGAGGACACTAAAATCCCCGAAATCATCTCAAGATAACCTCAAGTTAACCAAGAAGGATATGTGTTTAAGGCTTTCTGCCAGTCAAAACATATACAGTCTGTCCACTCTTTAATGTCTTGTATGAGCTACATTGCCCGGTTAAACATGCACCTTCCTTTTGTTTTTATCTTAAACGCAAAATCAAAATGCATAATAAGTTTAAAATGATTTGTTGTGTCGTGACGCCATTTTTTCATTGTGTTCACTCTCCCTCCCCCCTAACTTTTGGGCCAGGTCACGCCCCTGTTTTAAATCGGTAACATTCAGGGCATATCCCCAGATTGAAATTTTTCTAAGTATTTGAGGATATTTCCAGACCAGTTACTGTAGAAGGTCAACTGTGCGCTTGTCACACTGCACTTGTCTGCCTCTTTAAGCGTTTAGCGTTAAGTGCTGGTTTAACGACCGACGCGATCTAAAGCCAGAGATCAGCAGTCCAAGGTCTTCATCAAATAACTTTGTGTGTAGTCAGCACAAAGTGCTAGGTTGTTTTAAAGCATATGCTGTCACCACTTTCACAAAGTTGTAAGTCAGGACCAAGTTTTGTTTTCTTTAGTTCAGATCATTTATTATGTACCCCATACCCATCCTGTGGGGGTAGCGTACCCCATACCCACCCTGTGGGTGGTAGCGTACCCCCACACCCACCCTGTGGGCGGTAGCGTACCCCCACACCCATCCTGTGGGTGGTAGCGTACCCCCACACCCACCCTGTGGGCGGTAGTAGACCCCAAACTCGTCCTGTGGGCGGTAGTAGACCCCAAACTCGTCCTGTGGGCGGTAGTAGACCCCAAACTCATCACGTGTGTGGATAGTGGACCACATATTCATCACGTGAGCGTGTAGTGGACTCATCCAGTGAACGGTAGTGGAAAAGATTATAGAGGATCATATTGGGTTTGGGAACCCGAAGCCCCAACATTGATTAAGAGTGGCAAGTTGCACCCTTGGTTACATAGTTTGTTAATGCACACACACACACACACACACACACACACACACACACACACACACACACACACACACACACACACACACACACACACACACACACACACACACACACACACACACACACACACACACACACACACACACACACACACACACACACACACACACACACACACACACACACACAGGTATGTGTGTATGTTTAGGCTGAGTGTGTTTAGGCTGAGTCTTTGACATCGCAAGCAAGGCAAAGACTCAGCCTAAATTGCTGCATAGCCACATCAGGAGAAAAACAACAGTAAAGGAACAGGTAATGAAATTAAGGATAGGGGAAGAAGATTTCACTACAAACGAGAAGGAAGTGTGTGAGGAACTGAATAAGAAATTCCAGGAAGTCTTCACCTTAGAGCAAGGAGAAATTCCAGAGATAAGAGAGATAATAGTTAACCAGGAACCACTGGAAGAGTTTGAGATTACCAGCGGGGAAGTAAGGAAGTGTTTACTAGAGTTGGTTGTGATAAAGGCTATAGGCCCAGATGGAATCTCTCCTTGGATAGTAAAGGAAGGAACAGAAGAACTGTGCCTGCCACTCTCCATAGTGTATAACAAATCACTGGCAACAGGGGAACTGCCAGAAATTTGGAAAACAGCTAACGTAGTCCCGATATACAAGAAAGGGGATAGACAGGAGGCACTGAACTACAGGCCAGTGTCCCTAACCTGCATACTATGCAAGCTGATGGAGAAAATTGTGCGTAGAAAACTAGTGGAACATCTGGAGCGAAAGAACTTTGTAACACAGCATCAACATGGGTTCAGGGATGGCAAGTCCTGCCTCACAGGGTTACTTGAATTCTACGACCAGGCAACAAAAATCAGGCAAGAAAGAAAAGAGTGGGCAGACTGCATATTTTTGGATTGTGGGAACCGACCTGTGAGATTTATATTTACGTTAATTTGTATACTTCGATAGCAATTTGTATAATGATAAGTGGACTGTATTTCTGCAATAATCTCATAATCTCACAAATCGATCCTCTACACATTAGGGGGGGTTTATATTACACATATGCAGCCAATCAAATTACAGTAATAGCTACATACATTGATGAGGTTCCTTCTCTTATAGTACAGCAGGTTAGTCCACCAGGTATAACTAGAGTGTAGACACCAAATTATCCTCTCTGAGGTAGCTTCTATCACCCAGTAACTGGTGCACATAATCTTGCATCCTCGTCTTGACCTGTCAAAAGTGCGCTAGCTGTGAAGCCAGAATCCTATATATGACAAGCTATATCAGAGAAAACACTGTACAGTACATGGAACATTAAGACCTGGCTTAATTACCTTTAGTTTGAGGCGATTTCGCGATCTAACCGGGTCACCCTATATCCTGACATTAATGGCCATAAATGAATGATAAACGGGTTTCGGATAGACACTTAACTTGAATTGTAGACATCGTGTTGGAGATGGTACCTTTGGTTTCCATAACACTACGTCCAAGTAAAATTAACAGGAGCCGAATTTGCTCCCGTGTGAGCCTCTGGTCTCGTATAACAATGGCTGCCCTCCTTCCTCCACTCTGACGCCTGGCTTACATTGTCCAGATTTCAGAACGTGATAGAAGGGTCACATTTACTCTACTTTAATATTGATAATTAAGTTAATTTATATAAGATGTTTTTATGATGGTAAAGTCCAAAGACTAATGTATTTAAGAATAATTCCCAGCAGAATAGCTGGTGAATTATAATA